ATGTGCAAGGCCTGAGCTGCATTATGCTCTTGAGGGAGACTGTGCAATTGTACGCTCTCCTTAACAACTCTTCTGTGCACTACATTTTACTGTTGACATAAAAATAACTCAGTGTTTACAGCAAAAAAATTCTCTTAACTAGCTGTATCTTTTTATCAGCAATTTCCAAGAAGATTTTCTTTAGTACGGAAAGGGATTCACATCCAAAGCCTTGGGTTGGATGGATTTTTTTTTAAATTACATTTCACATAATTTACTTTTCATAATACTTGAAAATTACATTAATTGATGTGCCTGGCTAAATCTAGATATACTTTGGTATACCTAGGTATTGGCTTTAGGAAGAAACAATGTATTTTCTGCAGGCATTACTAACTTGGAGGCACTGTTGCCAATGGGAGTAATGCCATAAACCATTTGGAAACTAAAGCAATTCTGGTTTATGGAATGTGTGTAAGTGTATTGGGCTGTTGGTGTGCCTGATCTGAAAATAACTATCTATGGAGACATAACAGTAAAAGTCTTGTTTTTTCTATATCTATAAGGCATTCATTTTCATAACTTGAAAGTTATTCTGGAGAACTGCCTATGAAGGAAGGATAACTTTCAGGCTTGTACACTATATAGGTCACTAAGATGGCCTAGTACGACTTCTGTCCATGTTTCTTTGTTGTCCTTTAATGACAGTTGCCAAAAATAAACGTCCACAGAAACAGCTGTTGTAATATTGGAAGAATGATTGCTGCAGTGGATGGAGACAGTGTCATTGAATTGGTGAGAAGGAGAGAGCTGCTCTCCCCACTGCAAATCCCACTTTTGTAAGCAGTAACAGTGTGGAAGTGAAAGGTTTATCACTCGAAACACTGACAGCATGTTCATCAAATAGTGTCTGTAAGAGCAAAAGCAACACAGCTGCTGCTCCTTCTCCCATGCCCAGTACACACATCCTCCCAGGTTATGTGGGCACCCTCTGAAGGGAAAAGAAATGCCACAGTGTTGTCCCTTGTGACACTGAGGAAGCACAAGCCAATGTGAAACTGTGCGATCTGAAATTATGGTGTAAAGGGAGTACAACTCACCAGGCACGAGGTCTCCATTTGCTGTGTTATCTGCAGAGGTGCTGCTGAGGAAGCATTTGTTGTCTGCAGGGCTGAATTCATTGCTTTACTTCTACAAAGCATCATGGATTTTAGGTGCACTTGAGGTAAGATGGGAGGAGCATCTCAGATCAATGTGGACGCCTTAGTCCTTCTGTGCTTATCCAAAAAAAAAATAAAAAAGTTAAATCTTGGGATTTTGGGAGAATAAGAGGAAATTTTCTCAAATTTCAACCCTTATACTTGCTTACAGAATATTTTTTTAATACTCTTGAAAATGTAGACATCCTGTTTCTCTTGAAGTGAACTTCCTCAATACTAGATGGTGTGAAGCTAAAAGAAACACATACATCTTTTGTGCCCCTGTACCTGGCATTGGTGCAGCCACAGCTTGAATCCTGTGTTCAGTTTTGGAACCCCAGACTATAGGAAGGACACTGAGTTGCTGTAGCAGGTCCAGAGAAAGGGCAGTGGAGCTGATGAAGGGTCTGGAGCACAAGTCTTATGAGAAGCAGCTGAGGGAGCTGGGGGTGTTCAGTCTGGAGCAAAGTAGTCTTAGGGGAGACCTTCTCTTTCTCTAGAACTACCTGAAAGGAGGTTATAGTGAGATGGGGATCAATCCTTCTCCTAGGTAAAAAGTGACAGGACAAGAGGAAATGGCCTTGAGTTGCACCAGGGGAGGTTTAGATTGGCTATTAGGAAAAATGTCTTCACTGAAAGGGTGGCCAGGCGTTGGAACAGGCTGCCCAGGGAAGTGGTGGAATCACCATCCCCAGAAGTGTTCTAAAGCTGTGGGGATGTGACACTTGGGGACATGGTTTAGTGGTGAATACAGCAGTGCTGGGTTAACAGTTGGACTCAATGGTCTTGGAAGTCTTTTCCAACCTAAACAATTCTGTCAGTCTGTGTTCATATAGAAGTTGGTTTCTTTTTAGAAACAAAGGTGATACTGTAATAGAGAAGATCAATGGTCTATTGTTTTGCTTTATGTCTGACAGTAATGTGTGGTTGGTACAACTGCCAGAAATTCCAAGGTTGTTTTAGTAGAGCTGTAAAAAACGGTATGACAGATGGACAACAATTCAAACCCATGCATGTGTGAGGCCTGGTGTCACTTACACAGATGCTGTGGTTGGCTTTATTTATAAAGCTTTCAAATCTTATGCAGAGAATGGAGACTAACTGCTGTCATTATGCTGTATTCTAATTTCACGTAACTTGTTTTAGGTGAATAGATTTTTGTCATCAGCAAAAAAAACCAAACCATATCCGATACATTGCTAAAGCCTAGTTTGAGTCTTCATCAACCTGAATAAAGTGCCAGTCTTGATCCATCAGATGGCAGCTGGGGCTGGAAAAAGCTGAAGCACATGGTGTCATTGTTATAAAAGACAATCCTTTCAATGGAATCAATTCAGGAGACAGGATGTCAATATGTTGTTTATTTTCCATTCATATCTTCCAGCTAAAAACAATTTATTCCTAAATGTCTATCTGGCTCAGACTTGGCCAAATCAAAAGGGGAGATGGCTAAATTTTCTTTTCCTTGTCCACCTCTCCTCAAAATCATTTTGGATATGCTGTTTTCCTCTCTACCTTTCAAGTAGTTTGAGTAAAACTTCTGTCATATGTACAAAGGATACTTTTTTTGTTCCATATAACTTACCCATTGGTTCTGTCAAAAATTGTAGTGCACCCCATTGCCCCTTTCTACATGTGATGGCTACTCCATATAGTTTATTCAATTTTTTTCCATTGTACATTGTAAAATCAGACTTAATTATTAAGAAAATCCAAGTAAGAAGCTGAAATGGATTCTGACTGCTGTTGCCCTTCATTCTGCTAGCAATCCTCCTGTAATGAGTACAGCTAGTACTTGTTCAAGAACAGATGGTCTAAGGGTTTTTATAGTGTAGGGAACAGGTTTTTCAATGCCAAAATTGCTTATAATATTTCAGTAAACAACATAATTTTTAAATACAAAGTTAGAATTAACATAAATCTAGAAAATTGCTTTGTAAGTGATCTCTTTCATGCAGGAGAAAAGACTGAAACTGAACCTGAATTCCTATAATTTTGAAGTCAGTTTGCCAAGGATTGTAATTGCTCCATTTTTTCCCCCCAGAAATGCATAAATACATAAAATCTATTAGTATATTAGTATATAAAAATTAATTTCTGAGCCATGGTCCTTATTTTTAAGAGGCAAAATGAGAAATGCTATTGGTGTTTAATGATGCTTAAATGCTGAAAAGTTTTTATTATTAACAATTGGCAAGTTAAACAGGACATCGATTTCCTTCCTTACTTTATTTTACTCTTGTTGCTGATGGGTAATTAGGTTTGGTGGCCATGTTTGCTTAAGAATTTTTTGATGATTTAAAGTTTGCTTATTTAGAGGAAGAAAATGGATTCAAATTATGAGCCAGCATGAGTCAGAATGATCTACTAGTTGTGGAAGGCGAGTTGGCAGACCTAGGTTTGGTCCCATGCCTGTCACCAGTATCTGCAGCGCCCTTGTGAGCTCTGAGAGTCCCCTCTGAAATCTGAGTCTTCTTCAGCTCCCTGTGGTGGGGACTCTCAGATGGGTTACAGATACTCTCACAGTCAGCAGTAATCTGAAAGGTTTCCAATGTTAATGCACCCAGCAGTTTAATAGTGATGCCTCTTACCAATATAAACTTCATTGAGCTTGCTGTGAAACAAAACTAACATCCTTGTGCAGTGAGGATGAGGGAAACTGAAAATTTGGGCCTAAGGAGAGAGGAAATTTTTGAGCTCCATGCCGGGAGCCACCCACGGGAGAAAGAGGTGTTTTTGTGATGGTGGGTTCTGGCAAAGGGGTTTTCAGTCTTTTACAGAAACAAACACTGCTTTGCAGGACCAGCTACAGGACTGGTGTCATAAGGGAGAAAGGAAACCATTTTCCCTTCCTCAAAAGAATAATTTGCTAGACCTGAGTTAGCAGGCAGAAACCTGAAGTCCAAATTTGGCTCAGGTTTAAGTAAAATTACCCACAATTTTTTGACACACCATTAGTCATAAGCAATGAGTGGTTTTGAGAGTGAGGGAGAGAAAGTCTGAGTGAGTCAACAGGCTACTGTGCTGCATGCTGTTATATATCCAGTGTTTAAAACCTTGAAGAGATGTGGTCCTGTGCAAATCACCAGAATTTAGAAGCTTTAATATGTTCTTTCAAAGCCCTTTTATTTTGCAGACGAGGTCATTATCAGTTGGACTTAAAAAGCCACTTCCCTTTTCCCTCCAGATAACATCAGTGGGAGTTCACTGAGCTGGTGCACACTATTGCTGTGGGTGTGTAGCTGTGCAGGATCTGGCCCAGTGAGAGCAAAGGTTTCATGCACACCTTTGATGTGCGGGGGAAAAAAAAGAAAAAGGCTTTTCCAGACACGCCTCCCCTGGCAGCCTGGTCATGCAGCAGAGAGACAGGGTGGTTTTGCCTGCTGCTGAATCAGCATTGATCTCGGCAGATGTGGAGCAGATATGCCTGGCAGAAGCTCTAAGACCAAAACAGAGGGGCTGTGCAGTTCTTGTTGAGCAATAGATTATGGTATTCTTGAGCGAGACAGTTTCGAGGTCCAGGAGATAGAGATCAGGCAGCAAATGCTTCCACCGTGCTGAAATCAAACCCATTCAGGGGAAGTAAGCCTACCTTCAGAAAATCATTTCGTCAGGGGAAAAGCAGATCCCAGCTAATTTCTCTGAATGCTCTGTTTTAGCAGCAAATAGAACTCTTGCTGGCTTCACCTCCATCTCAGCGAGTGTTTTACCCCCATTTCCCCCTGCACAACGCGGGAATAGGCAGTGTCAAGGTTAAACCTGGTCGCCAGCTTTTGTTAAGGTGTCGTGCCTGCTTGCGAAGGCAAGGCACCTGCCAGGCATGCCCAGTCAGCCCTAGGAGCCGGCTCTCCCTGCGCTCAGGCTTTGGGAGGCTGGAGCACAAAGAGCGCTTGTTGCCCCAGTCCCCGGGAGTCTCCCAGTGCTACCACTAGCTGGGGAGGACTGGTTACCATGGAGGCTGCCATCTGTTCACTCCCTGCTGGAATGTGATTATCCTCGCTGGGTTGGGAACCAGCAAAAGCAGGGGAGCGTGTGCTGTCGGCAATTATCTGCAATGGAGTGCGTTAATGGAGGGCTGGAATTAGCTAGCTGGAGGAGCACATAAAAGGATTTTATCAAAACTATTAATGATTTCTAGCCAGGAGGAGTAAGCTTTTTGCAAGGTCAGTACTAAATTCATTCTTTATGTAGACAATTTTTAATTGCTGTGGTGGCTTTATGAATGGCAGCACCACGGAAATAATGCTTATTGTTAAGAGGGTGTGTGGGGGGACTGTGTTTTAAGGATCTTTGTTTGTCTGTTTCAGTTCGAGCAGTTTAATTTGGGGTTGTTAAAGTAGTAAGTCAGAACAATAACTGGCCGAACTGACACAAATGGAGCAATTCGTATCTCTTGTCTTTATGAAATGCTGTTTGCTGCCAAATATGTTTGATTCACAAGTCTTTTCACGCTAATTGCTTTTTGTCTGAGTGATATCTTTTTGGATGTGGTACGTGTTTGGTTTTCGTACTGGCATGAAGGGTGAGACGAGGGAGAAATGTTCAAACAGAGCTGGTGATACAATGGATGTTTAGGGTGTTTTATGCAGTTTGCTCAGAGGAAGCAGCGTAAGGGAGGCAGAATGCAGGAGCAGGTTTTCCACTCTTCGTTCCCACCCTCTGCCCCTCTTTCTAACTCACCAACTGACCAAACACTTCAGACTCTTTCTCTTAAAGAGCTTAATTGTATGGAGACTTGTCAGGAGTTTTCAGAATACTCTGCAAATATTATGACTGTTTCGATGGCAGGATTTCATTTAAAGGGGAAAATAAAATTAGAAGTATATGCTTGTAAGGTTTTTGTGTCCTACAAAAGACTTTTTTTGTTGTGTTTTAGGAGCTAGGAGTGTTATTTTTTTTCATAATGAATGAATGATGAACATTTTAGTGCAATTCAAATTACTGACTTAAACGAGGAGCATTAAAATTTTGCACCCCGTATAGACAAAATGTTACTTCAGCAGATGTTTTTAGTCACATATGGGCTTTCCTTTTTCAAATAAAGGTTTTATGCTGCATCCCTCTTGCCAGAACTGCCATTTTTATTTGGTGCAGGGGAGGACACTACCAGAGGCTTTTAATTAAAACTGTGTCAGTTCTAATTCAACCTATTTGGCCTCTGCTTTTATGCACTGAAAATGTCAGTATATTGGGAGTCTGGAAGGGAAGTTACTGAGAGAGTTAATAAGTCACGATTGCAACATATTTGCCTAGGATAAATTTTTAACCTACAAGATGCTTTCCAAGTCTTGGTGCCTCACAAAAGTGCATGTGGGAGATTGAGGGGGTTTTTATTTCTTTGAGTACTTTAACTGTTTGTGATGTGTGAGCTTTTCTTGCGCTTGTGGGAGGCTGGTATATGTGCATGAAGTCCTTTCAGACTTTTATGCTACGCTTGCACGTTGGTGGAACTGGGTGAGCACTCTAAATGGAAGCTGTATCATCTTATAATTAAAAAAAAACCACCAAAACCCACACCTTCTTTAAACCCCTTCTTTTCCCAGAATTTAGCTATTGCATTGCCGTTTGAGTGGGTGAATTATGCAAAACTTGTTTTTAATGGGCTGCAGTGGACTTGTTCACACGTGTAAGTCACCGGTCTGGAATTGTGTTGTTAAAAAGAGTGCAGGGGGCAGATTGGCTTTTGTGCTTGGAAAGAGATTAGACTTTCACCCTTCAGATGCTACGCTGGACCTAACTGGAGGGAAGGGCAACCACCCCAAGGTTATGCTGGTGTGGGATGTGTTTCTGTTCCCTGGTGTCTTTCTAGGAAGGTTGCTGTTGCCCACAGGGTTCACTGTCGCTGTGTGTGTGAATGATAGTCTCATTGGCAAGTCTTCACAGATAGCAACAATCATATCAACATAAAGGTAAAGGCTTGTATATCCTTTCCAGAGGTGATTTTTCCTGATTGCTAACTGGTGGTGTGCTGAGAAGCTTGTTTTTCCACTGACTTTGCTAAACCTGTTTCAAGGATAAATAGGGGACTTTGCATTCTGCATTCTCCAGCTCTTATTATATTCTCTGACAAGCACTATGCAACTGTCCAAATAGTCTTCAGCAAACAATTTTTTTATTCTGTCTGGATTGGTCTGCATGTGTCTGTCGGTTACTTATTTTTTATTATTAAATTTTACTTTAGGTCACTAGGTCAGTGTTGATTTGTGGATGTAGGATTTAAAGGCTAGACACTCTTTAATCCATTTGTGCATCTGGCCTTTCATAGTAGACATCCCATTTCCGTGTAACAGAGGAGTTGTTAAATGTCTGTTGGAAACTAATGATTTTTTTTTTTTAAGAGTGTTTTTTTTAATCTTTGGTAGATTATTACAAGTGGCTCTGATGTTTATGCTTAATGCAAACAAATGATTGTCGGTGTAATCTGCTACATGATCTCTTGAAGGAGATTTATTCTAAAATACAGGCTTTGGGGACCAGCAGAGGTGATGGGTCATATTAAGTAGTGATTTGTTTTGAGTTTTTTTCAGAGTGTAAGCTACATTTAGGTACTTCATCTCACACACACAAAAAAGGAACGTTTTTAATAAACTCCTAACTAAATAGTGTCTAGAAATACAACCAAGTATGTAGTGGGCTCATCATAATCTTGTTTATAATGTCTTACATACTAAGCTTTCAGGACACTTGTCATTAAATGGTAAAATCCTGAGTCAATATATAGGAAGCTGGCTTGCGCATAAACGATCACAATTGTTTTCTTCAAACAGACAAGTCTTTCTGCTTTTCACTTGACACATGACTGTGGAATGCTGTTTGACATGACTTGGATTTATTTATACATTGTGTTTGGGCTGCTGCTTGGTGGAGGTTTTAAATGTGCTTGGATTTCAATACACTTTTTTTCCCTGCTGTTTACTCGTGTAGAGTGAACATTAAAACAAACAAACAAACAAGCCCAGGCTCCTTACTGTCTCCTTACAGCAGCATGGCTACTTAAAGGTTTCAGCCTGCAGCTCTCTCTGAAGGGCCAACTGTCTTAGAAAGTCCTGGTGCCTGTTTACAAACTGTTCTCTTTGCAGCTCCCATCAAATAATGGAGTTCTCCCGGCGTTGGATGTGGGAGGATAAACCTGCTGACACAGGCACTGCTGCTGTTGGTCTGCTCTCTGGGCCTTAGTCATGTAGAATTGCTGGTGCCTTTTATGCTTTGCATGGGCGGGGTCAAAATGCTGGCAGTAACACTTTTTTTCTTGATGCTGCAAAGAGCTGTACCAGATTTTAGCAAACACCAAAATTGTTGAATTCGTTCTGAAGCAGATCACCATACTAAACTAGTGCAGTGAGACAATGAGTAAGTAAATGGGAGAGACTGGCAATGTCCAGATTTATTGTATGTCTGGGAATTGTGGTATGTTTTTTAGCCTTTTCAAGGGGGGATTGAATTTAGTACAGAAGTACTTTTGTCCTTCCTAGAAGTTCCATCTTGTTGAGGTGCCTAACTGGAGAACCTGAAGACTCAGAGCTCTTCTGCAAATGATTTCAGAAAATATTCCTCCCAGGTAATTGTTATTCAAAGTTGGGAGAAGAACAGGGTGGGGAGAAATGGCTGCATGCCAGCAACAGAATATCTTGAAGAGGGATTATTTCTGGCTTTTTTTTTTCCCAGTTCATCCAGTTGCTCTTACTATATAATTAGCTGTTCATTTTAAGTATAAAAATACTACTTGGACTGACAGAGACATGGGAATTGTTTACTTTTTGATTATTATCTCAGCAAAGTAAGTGCTTGAGTGCACTTGGGAATGTGGAGCTCAGGACTGGAAGGAGCCATTTGAGGGGTTTTTGTGGGGGCTTTTCCCTCAGTCACAGGTAGTCATATAAGTTACATGTCATTTAGATGTTCAGTAGGCTTTTCTTCTGGCACACTGCGAATTGCAGAGTGTTACTGGCTATGGAAGCAAACTTTAAGCAGAACTTTAAACTGTATTAAATGATGAAAAGCCAATATTACACTGTGCTTCAGAAACTGTGCAGGAAAGATTGAAGTCATTGCCAGTGTCATGAGATTTCTGTTAGTAGTAGAAAACTTAAGCAGACACTTTGAGACATTAATTCTACTAGCAGGATGATGCTTTCTGGACTCAATAGCCACAGTCAGTCTCCAGTGCTTCAGAAAAATAAGAACCCAAAGCAACTAGATTTTGAATCAGAGGGAAGAATAGTCATCTAGTCCTGACGGATGGTGGTAAAAGTGCTTTTCCAGCTGCTGATCTTTGGAGGAACTTCCAGTGCAGTTTTTTTGTACTTGTTCTTGACTATCTGTAGACATTTACTGACTTGTGTATTCTTCAGAATGTACTTTTAGCTGTGGTTTTCTCACAGAAGCACTTTACCTTCATGAAGATGGTATGGATGCAGCTTACCCTGGTATTAAACAGTGTTGCAACTTGTCTGTTCCACTTTTACTTGCGGTAACACTTACTAAAAAAAATTCCTCCTTCAGCTGCCCAGTTATGTGGTGTTGTGGTTATAGTTCTGAGTACCTGTTTTGGATTTGATAGCTAATATTGAAACAAAATATCATGAAAGCTTTTTCAGCAAAGGCTTCTGAACTGGGGATTCAGGCTGCAAAAGACTTGAATTACAGTCTCTTCTACAACCAAAGGTTTTGTTTTGTAGACATTGAGTAATGCCATGGGTGGTATGGTGTATTCCCGGGAGTGGTGCCGAGCATATCTGCTGTTTGAGTAGTAGAGGGAAAATTAGCTCAAGAGCTTGTAATATTACTTAAAAGATCAAGTTGATTCTGTAATGAGTTATTCCTGCAGGGCAAGACCTGAACTTCTGACTTGGAATTTTTCTTCCTAGTATCTCCTCCTCATCCCAGCGTCCTTTGTGTGCTCCTACACCCCTGTCCCATTTTGTACACAAGTTAATATTTATTTTATATTTTTTATTCTCCTCCCTTTCTTAAGGATGTCACTGATGCTGAGGAAGATGAGTGAAAGCATGAAGTGGGCTTTTTTTGTAATTCAGAATAGTTTTATGGCTTCCCATACCATGATTGCAGCAGTTACATTGAGACTAAGATCTAATACCTAGAATAAATAATTTGATGTTCATTGTACTTGTGTTCAACACGGTTGAGTATTGTTCAGCTTCCT